TAGTTAGTTAGTTATAATTCACTCAAATTATTAAGGGCAGAAACAGTCCTGTGTTGATGCACACCCTCACACAGTGGGTAACATTTGGCATTTCCTGTGTGCTGATGGCGACCTGGCTTTTAGGATTCGATTCTTGGTAATTGTAAGTATTTCTAACGAAGAAGTAATGACACTATTTCTTTTAGGAAGATTTGAAGGTAAGTGACGGATTGTTTTATATCACTTTTGCAGTGACTACTGAAACCTATTTGATGTGTCATATGATGCTTTGTAGATGGCACTGCACACGATCTGTACGAAATTCATAGATACGTAATGTTGGTATTGTGGTGTCGGAAGTCGATTTTAATCGAATATTCACATGTGAGAAAATTTCGGGGTTTAGTCGTTTTAATTCCAGGAAATGTGTAGTTTGTAATAAATGTGTCAGATATTATAGTTTTATGAAAACTAAAAGCAATAACGATGGTGTTGAAGGGAATAGTATCGCTGGTGATTTTGGGTAGTATGTATTAATAATATAAACTTTGGTAGACTTGTGCTTTTGACGTTTCAAATGGGACATAACCTTTACTGTCTACCCTTCTTATTTTAACAGCCGTGAATAAAACCACTAGCTGATCTATGTGACAACCTCTCAAGTTTTAAATCACTCGCTCAAAAGTACAATGTTTCATTAAGAGGGTGTTAGTTCTCTCAATATAGGTAGTAAATGCAGACGATTCAAGCCACGCTAATAAAATACCTGCATTTAATGCCAATATATTCCCACATAAGGAGAAAACTGCATAATGATGAGCTTAAAAATCTGTACTCCCCCAATATTGTCAGGGTGATTAAGTCGAGAAGAATGAGATGGGCGGGGTATGTAGCGCGCAAGGATGGGACAAGAGGTGTGCACCGGGTATTGGTTGGGAAGCCTGAGGGGAAGAGACCGCTGGGGAGACCTAGACGTAGATGGGAGGATAATGTCAGGCAGGATCTATGGGAGATAGGAGTTGAAGGAGACTGGATTTTGTTGGCCCAGGTGGAGGGCTTTGGTTAATTCAGTGATGAACCTTCGGGTTTGGTAAGCCATCTAGTTAGTTAGATATATTCCCACATAAGTGCCCCTGCGTATTTAGTTTTGAGGACACCCTGGAATGCTCACATTTATGGCCAGGGATCTGAATGGAATCAGAACATTGTTTCCTGCTTAAAAAAATATTGTTGTAGAAAGCATCTGGTATCGGCAAAGATACCAATTCAGATATATATATATATATATATTGTTTTGTAGTTCCATAAGAGAAATTATATTTGTGTTCATATATGTTTTTCTGATCATCAAACTGTCTCCAACCACTTCACCTGCGTTTGAATAGGTTGTACTGTTTTTTTCTATTACAGATATGTGATAATGAATAATGTAATTACATCAAAACACTGTGCAAACAAAAGAGACTTGTGTGGTGATTATGTTCTGGGCTGTGATGCTGTATAGACTTACAGGTGGTTACCAACATTTCTGAGAAACATACTGCCCCAGTCTTCAGGACTTAAGTGGAGACAGTATGTTTCTTCACAGTCTTGATATCTACCAATGAGTCTATGATCTTTATTTTAGGTGTTGTGGCTGTGGCAGATTCTGCTCGTGTCCTGGAATTAAGTGACAGGTACATATATTAACTCTTAACCTTCCAGGAAACTGATTCAGTTCTCATGAAACATAGTGGGTTCATTAGTTGTACCCTTTAATGGTTAACACTCCTGTTTTATATTCAGGAGGTTCTGTGTTTGATTTTTGATCCAGGGACAAGTTATCTTCACAGATTTTTCATGTTTTTCTCAGTTCCCCAAGGTAGGAATAGTACCAAACAGTAGGTTAGAACCTTTATCATGCAAAATCTTACTACTGTTTTTACAGTATACATGTATGTATATAAAACACTTTTGTAATCTCTTGTCACTTGTCACAGTATAACCTTGTAGCTAATAAAGTTAATTAAATAAAGCAGTGAAAAGAGAATGATGATTGCTTTATTCTTACAACATTAAATGTTATGTAGTGTTAAATGAGATTGAAAGATTAATGTAAATGTTGAATAGGTAAGAATTTGGAAGGAGGCCTGCTTGAAGGTATTATTCCAGCCTTTCCTTGTAGACACAAATGAAAGCTGTGGAAACCTTTGTCATGATAGTCCACAGATCAGTTGATGTTTAAACTGGGTGTCCTTTAGAATGTCTATTGTGACATCACTACATCAACCTTCTTTATATGATGATCATAAAATTGATGATTTTATAAATGGCCATTTATTTCGTTTATACCTTATGTATTGTTTTCTTTTGTTTACAGATTTCTTGATATTAGGAAAGATGGGCATTGGCTTATCATGGTATGTATCTGAAGAACCTAACATTGTGCAGTTTTTTAATGATTATGTTATTTGTTTGCGATGAGACATAGTTTCACAGTCTGTTAACCTTTCAGAAAAAATGAGCAACAAGAGATAATTTGTTTCAACCTGGATTTCTGGCAGGTTTATAATAAACAAAACATTGAAGGGACTAATATGTTAATTTTATTACAAGGTAGTCTTTTATTAATGAGACTTAACTCTGTTTTTAACCTACTTTCCATATTTTGTAAGGATAATTGAATTTGTGGCATCATGATGTCTGCATGTGTGTGTTCCTAATAAGTTTCATGTGAATAAATTAGTTTTTCTACAACTAGGCTGTGAACTTTATGCCACTGAATGCCATCCTTTCATTGTACTTTTTAACTTCCCACATTTATAAACATTATTGTGATGAATAAATTAATTTCTAAGGTAGGAGTGACAGAAGTGCTGTTTATGTAGTCCTAAAAGTTTGTGTGGTGATCGAGTTTTGAAAAAAAGAATCAAATTTTTTTGAGGTAATATTTTGTAGAATGTAAAATAACATGGTTTCCATACAAAATGTTTATTTAGCATCTTGTTTGAAACTGGTAACTAATTAAATATTGCTTTACAGGCAATAAAGGTACCTATAAATCTCATAAGAAGCCTGTGTTTATCATAAAGTGAAAGTTTGAATTTTTGTTTGACATATGAAAGTAGTGGAAATATTTTATACAAATAGAAGTTGTGTTTAAAATTAGGTCAATGAATTGTGTTTTTATTAACTTATAACTTATGTTAACCTCTTTATGTACGTGGAAGGACTGTATCTATGTTTCCTTTTCCACAGTTTTATGCTCCATGGTGTGCCCACTGCAAACGCCTGGAACCAGTATGGTCTCATGTGGCACAGGCCCTACACAATACCAATATTCGTGTGGGTCGCATTGATTGCACCAGATTCACTGGCATGGCTACAGAGTTTGGAGTATCGAGTTTCCCAGTGATCTTGTTGTGAGTTGCTAAGGCTTTTGTGAGGCTATAAGGCTTATGACAACACATGAAGTACTGACCACTAGAGTTCTTGTGGTTTTAAAATATAACCAGTTGGATCAGGTGATGAGACTCTTCAGACCACTTACTGGTCTGTCATTAATGCTTTCCATGCTGATATTTTTAAAGAAAAATTATGATTAATTTTGTTCATTTATAGTGATTCAGTTTTGATTATCATAAAGCTACAGATATTTGCTTTATAATTTCTAAAGACAAAAAGAAACATCAAAATTTTGGCTAGGAGGCCTGAAGAGAAGAGACTGCTTTAAATAACTAGATGTAGATTGGAAGATGATATTAAAATGTATCATTAATGATACAAGCTGTTATCTGTGTTTTATAATTTTAGGGGTGGTTTCTTCATTTTATCTCCTATGGATAAAATTATTCCACTTAGATTTATACCTTGACCTATACTATTACTTTAGTTTGGAGATGGGTATTAGCTCTGTTAACTGGGTCTAACAGAGCAAGGTTTTAATTTTCATTATTAATTTATGTTATAAAATGTTAACAGTTTGAACGGGGACTTTCAGTACACATTCAAAGGAGACAGGACAAAGGAAGAAATAGTGAACTTTGCCTTGCGGGTGTCTGGACCGCCAGTGAATCAGATCACTCGATCAGAGAGCTTGGAGAATCTGAAGGCATCCAATCGATTATTTTTTGTGTATGTTGGTGACCATGAAGGTCCATTGTGGGTAAGCAGATGCATATATTAAAATATTTAAAAATAATTAGGAGATTTAGAATTTACTATTCAAGGAAAAGCCTGTGTTCCAGAGTTAATTGCTAAAGTTGAATAGCCATTTTTAATTTTGTCAGTGTTGGTCTTCTGGGTTGTAACACAATGTGGTAGATACCAACATTTTGTAGGAATATACAGCTTTTAAGGCTGAAGATGGGGGCAGTATGTTCCTATGAAACATTGATGTACAAGTCCACATGGAATAACAACTTGAAAGACCAACACTGATGTCTTCACTGCTGTGAGAATCTTATATCTGATTTCTCATTGTTTGTTATTGTTCACAGCATAAGTGTCCATTTAAGTTTCAGTGCCTTAATGTTTTGTAAAAGAAATATTTTTCCAGTCATGTGACATCTCAAATTGGTGACGCTGTTGTTCGTGTTCTAACTGATACCTGATGAATCAATTTTTGCTGTTTGTTAATGTCTGCAAATCTCATTATCCTTCTGCATTCCAGGAGACTTATTCTTATGTAGCTGAAAGATTTCAACCTCATGGATTTTTCTATTCTGTGTCACCAGGAATTGCAAGAAAGCATGTCACAGTAACATCATTTCCCTCTGTGTTTGTGTACAAAGAGAAATTGCATTATTTCTTTGCAGGTTAGTAAAATGCCCAACATATTGTGGATGTGTTTAAATGAAACTGCATGCCAGTTAATTTTCTTATTAATATTTTGTTTATAATTGTGCCTTTTATAGTATTTATTAATCACTTATGTGGAGGAAATTATTATGAATGTCAGTTAGAGGCCAATTTCTAAGGAGTAACTGCTCATGTTTGGTGATACTGACCTTCAAAGTATTCTCTGCCCTGTATACTAAATGGCTGCATCATGACAGTTTGTGTCTCTCCAAACATTTTTCATCTTCAGAACTCTTTAATGTACTATGATGAAATTTGATATTGGGAGTTTATTCTAAATCGGTATAGAAATTTCATTTTATTTCTTACTGACGAACTGTGACAATTACTTCATGATATCGTGGATCTTTTTATGTGGTTGTCTGTTGCACCTTATTTACTTAATTTTTGATTTTCTTTGGAGTTGATGACCAGGGTTAGATTCCCAGCAGGGGCAGAACCTTTTTTTCTTGGCCATTGTGTCTGGATTGGCTGACGCCCAATTGTACCTGTTGGTTTCTAGTGTTTCGTTCCTTTCAGAAGTGTTTTGTGAACAGCAAACATACAGTAGAATCCTTGTTTAAGTTTCTTCTGTATAACTAATGAAGTAACCATGTAAACCAGAGACCTTCCTGAGAAGCTACTAATCACTCAGCTAGACAAGAAATTTCTTGCATTCTGTAGAACCCAAAGGTTCACTATAGTGTTCGCAATGGCCTGTTGTGGGGGGAAAAGTGGGTTAAACAGGAGGCTTGTCCTGAGTATATGAAATTGCTGTGGTGTTGTGACCTGTAACTATGTATCAGAGTGGTTGAATTCTATTACTCCCCAAAGAAATGTTAAATTGAAATTTCACTGTCATTTATGTTTACAACAGAACCACTTAATAATGAATTGGGGCTGGAGTACTTGAATGCTTCCATGTTTGACTGGGTAAATGTTGAGAGATTTGCGACATTCCCAAAGGTAACAAGAGGGAACATCAATGAGTTATTGCAGACCAAAAAATACCTTGTTTTGGCTGTTGTAGAAGAGAACAAACTACAGGAGATTCCCACTGAAATGCTAGTGTAAGTACATAAAACTGAAAAATGTGTTTAAATTAGTATTCAAGCAGTTGTACAAGTTCCTGCAGTTATATTTGTGTTAGTAGCTAACTTACTGAGTTGTTAACAATTAAACAACTATCAAACAACTAACTATTTTATTCAGCACCATTTAATATAAAAGCTCCTGTTGGATGTGACCCATGTTTCCATTCCTGTGATCTATTTCCCTAAACGCTCATATTAACATTATCAACACTTCTCAGTTTACCCAAGATATTTCTTGATCAAAATTCTGTAATTCTGTCATGTTAATAATATAGCAACTTAGGAATGGAAAGGGTTAACATGAAAAGTACTGCAGTGAAGTAATTTGCAATTAAATTTCATTGTATAAAATGTTTTAATCTGTTTCATTGTCTGAAGAAAAGATTATATTTTTGTAAAGTAAGTCAGTGTGGAAAGGACTGAACTTTCAACTGTCACATGGAATGTTTTTCTGCATGTGGCATGTAAATTCTGTATATTAAATTTTAATGTATTTTTAACAAAGTAAATTGTTGCTTGAGGCTTGCAGATTTTATTATTCATGTTTTCATTTCAGGTTTCGAGATATGATTCAGTCTGTCATTATAAAGAACAGAGAAAAGTTTCACAAGTGAGTATTTTGGATTTGTGTATGAGGCAGATGTGTAAACAAAGGAAAATATTAAATTATTAAAAATTGGAAGTACTTTCAACAGTACAAGTATAAAGACACTAATAAACACTGTGATAAAGCCTTGATTATGCTTCCAGTGCCACTGTCTGTTAGCCATTTGGCAGTAAAGGAGTTCCAAATTCTGTTTAAATTACAGTTGTGTTTGTATACTTATAATATGGCTGTGTAAACTTGTGAATGTTAAGAATATGTGAAGAAAAAATTTCAAATAAGGTTTAGAGCATGAACACAGAAGGAAAAAAATGAGAGGGAGACTAAAATTAAGATGGGAATATGTTAGAAAAAAATGTACACAGAAGGATAGGAAAATAAGAAAAATGATGATCTGTGGAAAGAATGAAATAAATGGACAGGCTTTGTTGTCAGATAACCCACATAAAGTGTAAAAGTCGTAGGAAGAAGAATAGGTGAGTAAAAAACCCCATGTAAATGTGGAAAAATTTATACTTTGATTGATTCTTAAACTTTTGCCATAGAAATCTAGCACATTCCCTGTAACATATAAACATATGATTTAACTGTAGAACTCTTAAAAGATGTTCCCATTGTGTGGTGTGTTGACAGACATTTCCAGTTTGGCTGGGTGGGGAGCCCAGAGCTGGCCAACTCCATTGCAATGTCAGTGGTACCACTTCCATATTTGCTAGTGGTAAACTCAACAACCTATCATCACCACATCCCAGAGGATGACCCTAGTCAGCTGACAGCAGAGGCAGTGACCATCTTCCTGGAGCAGGTTCACAACCAGTCAGCTCCAGTGAGTCATGCTGCATTGCTCAAGTCAGACATATGTAAGGTTGATGGCACTCGAACAGTGTTCCCAAACTTTTCTGATTCACAACATGTTTTACAAATACCAGTACCCAATCTGTCTTACCTGTACAATAGTCTTATTATTACTAGTACATAGTGATGCCAGTGACGTAAGAGTTATTAAGTCATTGACATTCATGTGGGCGGGGTGTTTGGTTCCTGTGTGACTGGGTATTTCCCATGCTGTCCCTTACACAAGAATGTGTGTAGGTCTTCATGTAGAATAACCATTGTTGTTTTCTGGTGCTAATACCATTCTAATCCTCTTTGCTGCTTAGGACAAGTTGTGAAGAGATTATGTCAGTCTACCAGGCCTAGAGAATTGTATATTCTAATTTTCCTGACATTGCACATTAAGCTTGTGTTTTCCCCTCCTAGAGATATGGTGGCAATACACTGCCTGTAAGGCTTTACCGCACTTACTTCAAGGCCCGCACATCGCTTGCTGAGATGTGGTATGGGAACCCTGTGCTGACAGCTGTTCTTTTTGGGCTACCACTTGGCTTCCTCAGTCTGATCTGCTATTCTATTTGTTGTGCAGATATCATGGATGCTAATGATGAAGAAGGTACTCAAGTCCATATTCACTTGCCTAATTACAGATTCCAGCA